ACCGGCACAACCATTGCCGTCTTCCACATTGTAGGTTGCCGACCTTGGTGGAAGGCCTGCGAAAAGAGCCGCGACACTGGTGCAGCCAGCTCTTTGCTGCATTGCCGGAGTACTTCTTTCATCAACTACCCTTCAGTCAAGAAGAAGAATAACCAATACGAAGGAGATACAAACAACGGAGAAAAGAACTGAGACGCACAATCAGTGCGCTCCGAAAACGGCGGTGCTCGGAAGCAAGCGAGGCCAAATAGATCGTGACGCGCGCAGCGCACCCGGACCCATTCGGGCCTGAGCTGCGTAGCGATCGCGTGGTCAGGTGCACTGTGGTGCCATGGAAACAAAGATGGTGGCACATGTAGCGCGTGTACCACGAGGTAGAAAGAAAGGAAAATAAATGAATAAATAAACTGCAGAACGAAAGTGAACGCGAAGAAATATATTTGAGAGACTTTAGAGAAACAAGAATGTAGTTCGCGTCTGGCGGAGGGTGCTTGCACCTAGCTAGAGGTGAGAGCACCACTGTCAGATAATGGAAAGACTGAGTTAGAAAAGGAGAAAGACGACGGAGTTGCAGTCTGAAACTACAGGAAGTTCAAGTAAGACGTGAACACTAAATTTATATGTATTTCAAATATTCGTGAACGGCAGTTCTCGACACACGGTGATACACACATGCACACTCACATACACACTCACATACACACACGCACACACACACACACACACACACACACACACTCAGACATGCTCATGCGCACACTTAGGTAAATTATCGATCCCTGATTTCAACGCTAACCTCGAGACCTCTGTCCAGTTTAAAAGTTTCTTCCAAGACATTGACACTTGGTCCCTACATCTCCTGTGTCTTGTTTTATCTTTTCCTCTACATGTACATCTCAGCAGGGATGTGTTCATAAAAACAATACAGACACAATTTCAACTTTATCAAACTTATGAACACTTTTTACTCTCTGTTTGTCATTTTTTGTGTTTGAGCAGGTTCGTGCGGCAACGGCACAGCTTTCTGCTTTGAGAATGGTGATGCAGTTCTGAAGCAGTTATCTCTAGGACAGGTATGCAAGCAAAACAGCATACACAGTACATGTGCAGTGCTATATCATACACTAGTAGTGCACTAGCCACTCACTCTCTATATATGTACACAGTGACAATAAGCAGTTCACCTCTATACTACATGTACATGCATGCCATATTCGGCATACACATTAGCAAGCTGTGTTCATTACGGACGGTGTGGGGGAGGGGGTCTGAGAACGAAAAGAACAATGTTCGTTTCAGGGACGACAAACAACCTTTGCAACGACACATTTAGCGTCCATAATCGGTTGTGGAATGGACCGTATGCGTGTTAAAACAAAATGGCGTCACGATTTATTGAAAGTGGTATAGTTGGTGGTACGAGTGTTCAAACCCATTTGAACTTCATACTGTTCGTCTTCTTTTTGACATGCTCTCTTTCCATCGTCCTTAGCTTTTGTTTGTTGAGAGCTGTTTTGTCTTTCTCCTATACCTCTGGGGGATGCCAAGTGATGGTTTTGAGAGGCTGGTGATGGCTGTGAGCGAGAGTTTGCCCATCGGCGTCATCCTCGCTATAGCGATGAAAATACTAGTTACTGCGCACCTGGCAGATATCACAACACGTCGGAGCGTCCAGGAGCAAAGGAATCTTGGGTTTTCACTGGAATCTAGTTCCTCCAGCATCGTGTAGCCCACCGTCGGTGAATGGCGGTCCAGAAAGGTCGAACCTGGTCTTCTGCAGCATCTCGCAGTCCTGCGAGGGACACTGAATACGCCTGTCATGTATTCTACAAATAAAAATCACGAAGTAGTGGACTTTACAGTGATGAGTCTATCATGTATGCTGCAAAAGACGCAGGAAATGTGACTGGTGTCTGTACACTCAGTGACTGGACGCCAACACCCCAGTCTTCTCCTGCAGGATCTGTTTGACATTGACATTATGCAGTAGGTCGGCATTGACCTGGTTTGGCAGCTATCGTAATAGTATCTGCCTGGTTGGATGTAGCAGGTTGGTGTTTGCTCGTCGTCCAGTCCGGAATTTTCTTGTAACTCACGGTGGAGTACGCGCAGGGTTTGTGATCATCCCTGTTCACTTCAATATTATCAAACACAACGTTCCCTTTGTCACTCATCTTATCCTGAGTACTGAATTTGCTGACAATATTGCACCACACTTGTCACAACCTACCGCCACTGCTGGCGGTGGCGACTGGTTCGTCAATGGCGGTGACCAGGCTGACTGACTAGCTTCGAGACAGCGGCCTCGTTGTCAACCCCGCGGCAGCCTAAAGGTTGATTTTATTCATCCAGCCTCAGAGCCATGTTGACGATGCCCTAGTGACTGTGTGTCATGGATTGCCTTGCCATCAGCGGTCATTGCCGTCCACCTTGATGCAGCCCTCAACAACTGGCTCAGCCCATGGGAGTCTCAAGTGGACAAAGTTGTTGCCAAAGTAGCTCAGAAGATTGGTGCATCGTGGTGTAGGTGAGCACATAACTAGGACTTCCCAGCGCCTATTTGTCCAGGCTGCGATACTATGTGACATGCTGTACTGCACATTCTTTTCAGCACTGCAAGGCCGGCAGCTGGACCGACTGCAGGGGCCGCGCACATGCAGGCCGCCTGTTGCCAGTGCAGCATTCTGGAACGTTCCTTCCTTCTGAGATCCGTGGAATAATAACTTTCTTTGCTTCAAAGCAAATTGCTTACCTTTCTGTTGTGCTCCCAGTGTCCTTACAACAATAACCTACAGCAATGTTTTATTTTCCTTTCCATTCCCCAACCAATGAATACTACGATGTCGATTCTATTTCTGAATACTTTAGTGTGTGCCCGTGCACGCACGTGTGTGTGTGTGTGTGTGTGTGTATACCTCACTAGCCACTCGAAGTTCTGTTCCCCATCACTGGAACACTGCCTGTTCTTTCAGGACCTGCCATCATCTGCGGATGGGCATTCAATGATTGTATTGTGTGTGTGTTTCATTCAGAATCAGATCCGCTATCGTTGCTATAAGAGAAAATCTGTGGGTTCACATCCGGTGCATTTGTAGATTTGCGTGCTTTTCTCGCCACGGGCGCATACATGGGACATTGTGTGTGTGTGTGTGTGTGTGTGTGCGTCTGTGTGTATGGGGATATTGTCTGTATCGGCTTTTGGTACTAATGTTCAGGTCTGTGCTTGCATGTGTGAACATGAAATTGTTCGGTTCTGTGCATGCTATTGCTATGTTGTATATTATTGTATGTATGTGTGCATTTCCACGAACAGTGTAGATGAGCGTGGAGAGTGCATTCATCCCTCATCAACCACTTCCCCTTGGGCTTACGAGAGTTTTTTTTGCGTACCTCTCATTTTTGTTTGTTTCGCTCTGATACTGTATTGATGCCGGTACCTGTACCTCGATGTGTTCCTCTATCTGCAGTCGCCTTTAACCTTCGGTCAAGTTAACGTTTATTGTGCTCTATTTATCGTGCGAATCAAAATAAACAATAATAACACAAGTCGTGCTAGAGTGACGACATGTGCGTGTAGTAGGGTTGATGCGATGGGACGTTATAATTAGGTGGAACAGAACACACATTGGGCAGATTGCTTGGGCATCATTGATTGTGCTCAGTCTAAACAGTGAACATAATAATTATCTCCAGTGACAGACTGTAGCGGCTAGCCTCCAATAAGTAGCTGGCACTAGTCGCTACTGCTTGTTTGACAGGTGCCGCCAGAACCCCTGTTGTGTCATGCTATAGATGCACATGCCCTATTCTGGGGCATACTGAGGTACTTTGATTTTATTGACTGCATGTAGACAGCATCCAATAGTAGTACTCGTAGACCTGTGCTCTTTGTAGGTCAACCACCATCGCATGGATCGATCGGTGACTATGCACTTGGAAGTTGGAATAGCCCGCGCTGAACAGATCTTGCCATGGCCCAGGGAGTGAACTCGCTTACTCGACTATCCCGGTTTTAGTTAACCAGCATGAGTGGTGCAATTTGTCCATACCATGTTGCGAGCTCACAGTTGTTTGGGCAGGTTTTGAGCTGCACCACGAAACAAAGCGAAATAACGGCGTGACTGTAGAGCAAGGAAGCGGCGAGACGGCACTTCCAGGACGAGACAGGCAGTAGAGATGTGTTCACAGCACGAGCAACCTCTCAAACCCTGCTGGTACTCCACAGTTACAAGAAAATGTCGGACTGGACGACGCGCCAATGCAAACCTGCTACATCCACCCAGGCAGATAGCTGCCAAACCAGGCCAATGTCGACCCACTGCATACCGGTATGTCAATGTCAAACAGATCCTGCAGGAGAAGACTGGGATGATATTGGCGTCCAGTGTACGGCCACCAGTCACATTTCCTGCGTCTTTTGCAGCATACAGGATAGACTCATCACTGTAAAGTCCACTACTTCGTGATTTTTATTTGTAGAATACATGACAGGCGTATTCAGTGTGCCTCGCAGGACTGCGAGATGCTGCAGAAGACCAGGTTCGACCTTTCTGGACCGCCATTCACCGACGGTGGGCTACACGATGCTGGAGGAACTAGATTCCAGTGAAAACCCAAGATTCCTTTGCTCCTGGACGCTCCGACGTGTTGTGATATCTGCCAGGTGCGCAGTAACTAGTATTTTCATCGCTATAGCGAGGACGACGCCGATGGGCAAACTCTCGCTCACAGCCATCACCAGCCTCTCAAAACCATCACTTGGCATCCCCCAGAGGTATAGGAGAAAGACAAAACAGCTCTCAACAAACAAAAGCTAAGGACGATGGAAATAGAGCATGTCAAAAAGAAGACGAACAGTATGAAGTTCAAATGGGTTTGAACACTCGTACCACCAACTATACCACTTTCAATAAATCGTGACGCCATTTTGTTTTAACATGAATATCGCGGGTTACGCCGTCTCACCATTATGACTTCATTCCTGGAAACATCTACAAGTATAGCATATCCAAATTACAATCAAACAAAAGAAAAAAAAGAGGACACACTTCAGGCTCTTTACGATTATCTTGAACGTTTTCGGTTTCACAAGTATACTTTCAAGCCTTCTCGTCAGGTGATATACAGACAAAGGGAAATGAACAAGAACAGTGGATTGAGTACAGTAAGCAGGTGATAAAACAGCGCAAAGAAGAAGAAAAATAAAAAAGAAGAAAGAAAAGAAGAAGATTGCTAAAACTAACAGCGAAAATGTGTGACCTGTACACATCGAAATATTGACACAAAGGTGCAAGTGCTAGAAAACCTAACAAGCATGACATGTGGTGTGACTACAAGAGACTTATGAATAATTATGACGTCATACGATGTTATGGTTGATGTTTGTGCAGGGCTTGGATCAGATCTGCTTTGACTTTGGAATCTTGCTGGCGTTGTTCTTCGCCTTCTTCATTTCCGGACTTCTGATACTGGTGTTGCGTATCCGCTACATCAAGCGCTAATGTCTGCCAGGCGCAATGCGTTGACGTGTCACTCTGAGGTGCTAAACCTGACTTGATGATGGTGTTGTTCTAGTGTTGAGATGATTCAGTATTCCGCTATGTTTGTCAGTGTCTTTCATGTTGCTATTTTGTTAGTCATACCGCCCATATACACTCGTTAATGTCAACTTCAGTAGTGGACATTCCCAGACAAGTATTCTGCCTGTCATGTGTGTGTGTGTGTGTGTGTGTGTGTGTGTGTGTGTGTGTGTGTGTGTGTGTGTGTATGTGTGTGTGTGTGTGCGTGTGTGTGTCTGTGTGTGTGTGTTTGTGTGCGTGTATGTGTGTGTGTGTTTGTGTGTGTGTGTAGCATTATGGTGATAATGCAGATAAATGGGTGCACGCAGCTTTATGCTACCGCTCAATCTATGCTGCTATGTTTAATAGTGCTGTTACTGCATGCTCATGCTTTGCTGCTGGCTACAGTCGCATGCTCATGCTTTGCTGCTGGCTACGGTCGCGTGCTCATGCTTTGCTGCTGGCTACGGTCTCGTGCTCATGCTTTGCTGCTGACTACGGTCTCGTGCTCATGCTTTGCTGCTGGCTACGGTCGCGTGCTCATGCTTTGCTGCTGGCTACGGTCGCGTGCTCATGCTTTGCTGCTGGCTACGGTCTCGTGCTCATGCTTTGCTGCTGGCTACGGTCTCATGCTCATGCTTTGCTGCTGGCTACGGTCGCGTGCTCATGCTTTGCTGTTGGCTACGGTCACGTGCTCATGCTTTGCTGCTGGCTACGGCCGCGTGCTCATGCTTTGCTGCTGGCTACGGTCGCGTGCTCATGCTTTGCTGCTGGCTACGGTCTCATGCTCATGCTTTGCTGCTGGCTACGGTCGCGTGCTCATGCTTTGCTGCTGGCTACGATCTCATGCTCATGCTTTGCTGCTGGCTACGGTCGCGTGCTCTTGCTTTGCTGCTGGCTACGGTCGCGTGCTCATGCTTTGCTGTTGGCTACGGTCACGTGCTCATGCTTTGCTGCTGGCTACGGTCGCGTGCTCATGTTTTGCTGCTGGCTACGGTCGCGTGCTCATGCTTTGCTGGCTACGGTCTCATGCTCATGCTTTGCTGGTGGCTACGGTCGCCTGCTCATGCTTTGCTGCTGGCTACGGGCGCGTGCCCATGCTTTGCTGCTGGCTACGGTCACGTGCTCATGCTTTGCTGCTGGCTACGGTCGCGTGCTCATGCTCTGCTGCTGGCTACGGTCGCGTGCTCATGCTTTGCTGCTGGCTACGGTCGCGTGCTCATGCTTTGCTGCTGGCTACGGTCGCGTGCTCATGCTTTGCTGCTGGCTACGGTCGCGTGCTCATGCTTTGCTGCTGGCTACGGTCGCGTGCTCATGCTTTGCTGCTGGCTACGGTCGCGTGCTCATGCTTTGCTGCTGGCTACGGTCTCGTGCTCATGCTTTGCTGCTGGCTACGGTCGCGTGCTCTGCACATCATGGTGTGGTACTCTGTGCGGCTTGGCGCTCTGCGTTATATTGAATGCGTGTATGGTCCCTGCCTAGACCATACAATGATCTAATCATGCAGTTTATACACACACGTAACTGGCTCACTCTGAACTGCTCTGAACTCGGAATGTCATTATCTTCAACCAGACTCAGCTGCAGCAAGAGAAGACTGCCTCCGAACATCCCAAAACCAACTTCACACGAGCATGCATCTCTAGTGCGCATGCTCGTGAGAAGTCATAATAATATGACTTGACTGAGGGACACAACAATTCCCCCACCACTAGAAAAAGACGAACATGGAAAACAGTAATAAGAGTGGTTCAAATACGTATGGATGGCTACTATGCGAGTGTCTGATCTGCAACCAATTATGTCATCATTCGCTATAGAATTATAACCGATACCCATGGCTGACATAGTAACTATTCATGTATTTATGACGGCTAATACCTATAATTATTTGAACTATTTACAGAAACAAGATTTGTATACACATTATAATACAGTTCATGACCACTGCAGTAACTGGAAACCACTACTTGGCTTGAGTGCGGTACCGTTCAGGTATGACAACCTGGCGGCCGGACCGGGTCGTACTAGTGTTCTGACCAGGTGTCGATGGTGTTGGCATTCTAGACTCAGACTCACTATCCGTAGGTATTGTCGTGGTTGTTGGTGTAGGGCTGACTGTTGACTGACTTGACGGTTGTTTCTCAGCGGTAGTAGGACTTGAACTTGAAACTGTACCGGTAGAAGAAACACTGGGACCAGTATCAGCGGATGACGATGGAGCCTGATGCGTCGATTTAGGGGGAGCTTCAGCCACATCCTCCCTCACAAACTCAGACAAAGGAACTGAACGTGCTCTCAACTGGTTGCGATGACGCTTCCACAAAGCATCCTGAACTTGAACTTGGTAGTTGACTGGACTGATGACTGACACGATGCGACCTGGGACCCACTTTGAACCATAAGAGCCAAAATTTAGAGTGAACACAGCGTCGCCTGGTTGGAATTCTGGGGTCTTGTTCATGTTGCGTTCGTAAGCGTCAACAGACGGTTTGGCGGTCTGTTTTAGCGTGTCAAAACGGGTACGTGGTTGACGCATCATAAGCATCTCAGCTGGTGACTTGTTGTTTGCTGAAGGGGTTGTACGATGTGACAGGAGGAAGCGTTGTAGCGTAGCGTGTAGGTCACCCTGCGTACCCATGGCTTTCAATTTTGACTTGAAAACCCCAACATAGCGTTCTGCTAACCCGTTGGTCGCCGGATGTCCAGGAGCGGAACAAGTGTGTCGAATGCCATTATTGTGTAGGAATGATTGAAATTCTTCACTCGTGAATTGTGAGCCGTTGTCCGATACGATGTGATGTGGTAGGCCAAACAAAGCGAAGACACGGCGTAAAGCAGCGATAGTAGTAGCGGACGTTGCACGGTCCATAGGAACAATATCCAGAAATCGAGAATATGAATCAACAATGACAAGAAACATCTTGCCCATGAAAGGACCGGCGTAATCAATATGTAAGCGTTGCCAAGGTCCCGTCGGCCATGACCAGCTACCAAACTCCTTCGCTGGCAGGCGTGCTTCAGCTTGGCATTCCGGACACTGGGCGCAAACCTGCTCCAAATCTCTGTCGATACGAGGCCACCACATGTAGCGACGTGCCAAGCGTTTCATAGGAACTACACCTGTGTGTTCATAGTGAAGATCGTTCAGCAAGAACTCACGTAATGATTCTGGAACAATGACACGATCGTTCCAAAGAAGGATATTGTCAGACACAGACAACTCCCAGCGCTTCGCAAAGTACGGCTGTAGAGTTTGATCAATGGTTTCCGGCCACCCATTCAGTACATGGTGCCAAACTGTCTTCAGTATAGGATCCCGTTGCGTTTCGGTAGCAACTGTGTCCGCATTAATGACTTCGCTTTCAATGAATAGTACCTGTTCATCAGCTACCTCGTCGGAGCAGGGAGCGCCAGGACCAGGTTGGCGCGACATGAAATCAGCGAATGGGTTTTGGCGCCCTGGGATGTGCTTGATAGAGTAGTCGTATGCCGCTAGGGCCAACTTCCATTTCTTGAGTCTCGGTGACACCAAGTACGGAACGCCGTCTGTACACCCAAGCAGTTTAACAAGCGGCTGGTGGTCTGTTTCGAAAATGAACTTGCGACCGAGAAGGTACTGGCGGAAAGTAGTAGCTCCGAACACCACGGCAAGCGCCTCTCGCTCGATGTTAGAGTAGTTCTTTTCCGCGTTGGTCAAAACACGCGAGGCATATGCAATGGGACGGAAATGACCAGGTCGCTCTTCTTGCAATAGCACCGCTCCTAGACCTACGCCTGAGGCGTCAACTTGGACCTTGATGTCCTTCGTAGTGGAGTAGAAAGCCAACGTTTCAGTGGCGCAGAGTGCACATCTGATTGCGTCAAACGCGTTGCTCTCACTAGACTCCCACTTCCACACAGCATCTTTTTTGAGTAAGGCGTACAACGGTGCCATGATGGTGGCAAAATTCGGAATGAATGCTCTGACGTAGTTCGCAGAACAACGATGAACGATTGCACTTCACTCACAGTAGTTGGAGGTTTTGCGTCTTTCATGGCTGTAGTGTGCTCGGCTGATGGCGATACACCCTCCGCTGAGAATGTGTGCCCCAAGTAGGAGATGCTGTCAAGCATGACTTCAAACTTCTCGAGTTTTAGTTTCATGCCGACTTCTTGCAGGCGCTGGAGAACTTTCACAAGGGTCGCTCGATGCTCGTCAGGTGTTTTGCCCGTAACCACAATGTCATCGATGTATACAATGCATCCATCGATGCCAGCCAGCACAGTCTCCATGGTGCGCTGAAAAATGGCAACAGCCGAGTGTTCACCGAACGGTAAGCGCACATATTCAAACAAACCACGGTGAGTATTGATAGTGGTGTACTTTCGGCATGATTCATCGAGCCCGAGCTGGTGATACGCCTGCTTGAGATCGATTTTGGTGAATTTCGTACCGCCTGACAATTTAGCGCGGATCTCAGCGATTGTAGGTAGCGGATAGCTTTCCAGCGGTGAATGTGCATTTAGAGTGCGCGAGTAATCCGCACAAATGCGAATCGAGCCATCCGGCTTTTTGACCGGAACAGTTGGCGTTGCCCATTGTGAATATTCAACTTTCTCGAGAATGCCATCGCGCTCGAGTTGATCAAGAGCCTCATCGTATTTCTCAGTAATTGCAAATGGGACTTTGCGAGGCTTGAGGAAAACCGGGTGTGCGTCGTCAACACGCAGGTTGACCTTCATTGTGTTTAGTTTGCCCATTGAGGTAGAATCAAACAGATCTGGAAATTGGGCCATAATTTCCTCACGCAGTTGAATTTGTGCCACGGTTTCATCAATTCTAGTTTTGACAGAGAAGATTTCATTCCATGGTAATTGAAACAGTTGTAGCATGTCCCTTCCCAAAAGGGATGGTCCCGAGACATCTACAACTCTGAGCTTAACGGGCGCTGTCGTACCATTCAAGGTGACATTCATTTCAAGCTCGCCCAGGCAGGTAATAGGCTTATCAGAGAAACCCCTCAACAGTACGGTGGATTTAGGTAAGGTAGACAGAACCCCACCCAGCTTCTCGAAATCCCGTTTATTTAGTATGGACACACCACTGCCAGTATCAACTTCCATGCGAATAGGGATGGGTACCTCATTGATTACAACATCCACAGCAAACGGGGGTACGCTGCCTGTAGTATCACGTACAGTATACATTGGAACGCTCTCACCTGCGTCTTCACAGTCAGAGTCGGAGGTAGAAAGATCCTCACCCATGACATGGTGACAGTCACGCTTGTCTCTCTGCAGTTTAGTACGACAAACCTTCTCCAGATGCCCCCGTTTGTGGCAGTACCGGCACTCGGCGTCCTTATGTCGACACTTGTTTGCCAGGTGCATATCCGACCCGCAGCGAAAACAACGCTTTCCGGACGCCATCGGCTGCTTGGTGGATCGACGTTCCTTCGTCATGTGTACGGGAATGTCCGTGGGAGACCCGATCGACGCAGAAGCAGCAGAGGGTGCAGTGAATTGTTTTGAGTAGGAAATGGCCAGTTCCTCCTTGCTAGCCAGGTCGATGACTTTCTCAAACGTGTCAATATCGGACTCCTTGGAGAGTAATAATTTCCGTCGTATCGTCGAGCTTGCCATGCCCGAAATAAACTGGTCCGTGAGGGCTCGGTCACGATGGGAGCCAAATTGACAATCGACAGCAGCACGCTTGAGTTTATTAGCAAAATCGACTGTAGTTTCACCCGGAGCTTGGGAGACTTGGCGAAACTGAAAAGCGGCGGTGGTTGGGGTAGTGTTCTTTTTGTAGTATTTCTCCAGTACAGCACAAAGCTCGTCATACTTCTTTGACGCGATCTCGTCAGGTAGGATCAGGGATTTCAAGGTTGAGTAGACCGTCTTAGAGAGCAGGGAAATTAGATGCGCTGTCATTCTCTTCTCCGCTGCTCTCTTTTCACCAGAAGAGGCATTGGACGCCACGACACCAATACTATTGGCACAGAAGAAAAATTCAACGCGTTCGCGATAGTCTTTGAAATCACCCCCGTCGAAAGGCTCGATGGTGGCGGCGTAGGGCAAGTAAGTATTCGTCGCCATTTGTATGGTCCCTGCCTAGACCATACAATGATCTAATCATGCAGTTTATACACACACGTAACTGGCTCACTCTGAACTGCTTTGAACTCGGAATGTCATTATCTTCAACCAGACTCAGCTGCAGCAAGAGAAGACTGCCTCCGAACATCCCAAAACCAACTAACTTCACACGAGCATGCATCTCTAGTGCGCATGCTCGTGAGAAGTCATAATAATAATTATGACTTGACTGAGGGACACAACAATGCTTGTGGCTCAATGTAGCTGAACCATCGGACCTTATTTGTCAGCTTGGATCACGTGATCCATCCAGCTGCCGCGTGCGGCAAACAGCCCAAATAGCGCTAACTCTGGCCTGCGAGCGTTTGCTGCGACTAGCGCGCTAGCGCTCTTGACATACACAAACGCGCTAGCCAGAATGCTTTGACTTTGATGGCTTTCAGCTTCTATTTTTTGAAAAGTAGCGCGCTCACACCAGCTCGCTCACTCTTTTCCTCTTCCATTTTTTAGGGCCATTCTTATTGTTTTGTTTGATAGACGAAGCTTAGGGTCTCTTTGGGTTTGCAACCCTTACCCTCCTGTCAAAAATCATAGTTGCTAGACTGCGACACTTCAGACCAGGTACTATTAGAGCCGCTAATGGACGACGAGCTATTTTCCGCTATCCGGAGCTCAAGCATTTGAGCCGCTAAATGGACGAGACTCCTGGGGTAAAGGATGCAGAGAATGAGGAGAAAACACTCGTATGGAGCAGGGAGTAGGTATTGTACTACTTCCTGGTATGGAGCACTGAGAAGCGGTAAGTCCTAGGGCAATTCTTAGCCAGTAATTACTTTCTCGCCATAATTATGTTCTCGTTTTTCGTGTCTTCTGAAGTTCTGTAATGCCAGTACACTAGCAGTACGACTACACTGTAGGCGAGAGTCCATAAGCCAGAGTGTGCAGCTCTCCATCTATGCAGCATGAACAAATTAATGACAAATTTCCTTTGCCTAAGGGCTGGGTTCCACTGCCGCTCCGCCGCACATCATCCACGGCATGAAGCGTCATCATTACGAGCTGGTCCAGCGAGGCCGCGGCTCATCACCAGCTTTCGCTTCGCTGCTTGATACAAAAAAATGCAAGCCGCGGTCACGGCTTGCATTGTTTCCCGCACTTGATTGTTTTATTCGGGGGAATTTTAGTTCGTTGCACAGGCCAGAACACGAGGATTTTTTTGGATTTCACGCGCGCGCAGGCAGGCTAAATGTCATCAAAAACGTCGAGCACGATCTCGGTACCGTGAATGGCGAGTGTCACTGGAACCGCGCCGCTCTGCTGCATGCAGCCAAGTACCGTGGAGCAGCGGAGCTGCGGAGCCGCAGTGGAACCCGGCCCTAACCAAACTTATAGCAATTTGAAAATGTTTGACAATTTTTCATAAAAAACTAGACAACATTGTTCTTCCGAGTGTAGAGTGCCGCTGGCAACTCCATCAATGAGAGCAGGGATAAAGTTTAGAAACCCTTCGAGCGAGAGCGTGTTTTCAAAAAGGAAGCACAAATATGCCGCGTAACTTCCCCTCTAGTATGGCCCCATCAAAGCCACTCGCTGACTACTTACCAGTAAAATGGGGTTGGACGGTTGTCAGATTAGCTGACATGTTTTCTGCCAACACAACCATAAGCAGTTGTCAACTCTCAAGACTAAAAGAGCTTGCGAAGAAAGTGAGAAACCTTGGCTATGAAAGCACATGAAGCGTCAGAACAAAATCGAGCAGACTTGGACCTAGATTACCAGTGTCTGCTCCAGAGCCGGGTCAGTGACCCTGTTTGTGAGTACTTGGACCTTTTGGAAAAATAACACTGGGTTACCTGCGACCCGGTCGGAAGTCCTGTCGAGTACTATAATTTTTTATACTTCGAGGGTATACCGCCACTGACAGGCTGCATACGCGTGCAGATGCGTGCGGCCAGAGTGCCCAGTGCGAGTACGTTCATACATGTACATGTACAATTATGTACATCAGGAAGTCGAAAGTAAGTTTACGACTCCCTGACACACAGTAGCCGCACTTGAACGCATCTGGCTCTGGCCCAGTGTTGCAGGAGTTGTGCCAGTTAGACGTGTACCCAGTTTGTGTTAAATCTTAGAGCAGGTACTGCATACCCTATCATATCTGTGGACATGGGTATACAGAGTCAGTGTTGTTGCGTCCCACTCAGCACCCTTCTGGTTCATTTCGGCACCAGCACTCTTTGCGTATGCAGAGTTGAGTAGAGTGCAAGTTCGGACCACAAGTACACTAAAGCAGCTAGTAGCAAACCTAACCTGCCGTGATGCACGGCACGTGTGTGCATCTACTTCATCCCTGAGTAACACACCTGGTATATTGTGCACAATAGGGCACAGTAGATAATCAGCATGCATCGCAGTTTTCTGCAACATATTCCTGAAGTCACTTTACACCTCAGAAGAATTGCGTCGCTGACAGGAATTCGATACCGGTTTAGTTTCTCTCTGGGTCATTATGAAGTACCGTATCACCATGGTAATTCCTGGAAATTCGGTGTGTTTTCTGCCTTTTGTTAAACAAGCAGCAATGTGCAACAGAAATTACCATGGTGATACAGTAGATTACCGTGTGAAGCGGTGTGAGATGCAGCAAAGGTGAGCCTGTTACTGTGAGTCTATGCCCTAAACAATAAACTTTGCCGTGGGATGATTATCCTTGGGCTGCACACTCTGCACACTTATTGCTAGGTATATCATTGGTCTTGTTCGGATCGTCCATTACGTTTGCAGCTGTTCAAACTTGTTTTGTTGTCTATTATTTTATTGATTTATTTATTCTACTTGCCTTTCCTATCTTCTTGTGTTTTAGCATTAGGCGATTTGATCGCAGGACAAGAGAGGAGCTGATGGACGATCTCTCCAGTGTCCCTCTTGGTTCGGAGCAGCGCCGAGTGCTGACGTTGGGACTTGGGTAAGGATGAGTGTTCCCTCATGTTTACAAGTTATCCGTTTTGTCCAACACTAACGGTTATATGCAGAATACTGCTGAGTCAAAAATGTGCAACAATCAGCACAAAAACTGACTGATGAGATCATGACATTCAACGACCTGATGCTTAGCTGCATCACGTTTATATCCGTTAGTGTTTGACAAAACGGATAACTCGTAAACTGATGGTCCTCTTTTTCAATTTTAATCCTTGGCTCTCCATCCGAGTTCCCTCGTGTGTGTAGCTATTATTATTTTTTTGGTGACAGTCAATTTTTTCTTCAGACTTTTCCCGTTTGTGTCTTTCCCTCAAACTAGTCAATATTTTTATTTACTTATTTTTTTGCCCAGGGTCTACATTCTACCTTTATTTTACTTAGACTAGGGTTAGCTGTCCGTTTACCAGTACTCATCCACACATATGTGCACATAGGGTCTACACAGAACTCTATCAGTAGATATTTTGTGTATAGGGGGTTGTCTATCCACCGAGATAGCACTATATACTCCCATTCTGTGTGTTCTCTGGTAGCTATGTCCCTTTGAGACTATACGGTGCCAGTGTGGTGACCGAGGTCAGGCCGTGTCTGCACTGGCATCGTCAACTTTGCCTACTGCTACGTGCTCCCCAGTGCTCCATCTGTGTCCTGTAATTTGTTTGGGGAGGGGGGGGGGGGGCAATACCGGTACTTCAGGTGCAGGGGGAATGGGGTGGGGGGACATCATGCCCCCAATGAACCTCTCATGCCCCCAATGAACCTCTCCAGGCGTTGTTCTGGAGTAGACTAACCATAGGCGGAGTGTACACATGCAGCACATAGTTTGGGAGCTAGAACGCGATCGGACTCAGGTACATTCAAAGGCAGTCTATTGTGATAGTAGTCCTGGACAGATCTCACTATGATGATATAGGTCGTGCCCAGCATCACAATGCCAAACATTATAAATGACTGTTTTTTTGCCTGAGGGGCTAGATGAGCATGCTGCTAGACTGCCGATGGCAACCGACAGGCTCAAGGCTGTGTTGAGACTTCCTGTGAGCGACCCGAGTCAATTGTTTACTCGCCATGACTAGGCATCGCATTGAGCATCGTATGCCCACAAATATATGTCACTGTTCTTAGTCGCACCGGGGGCGCATGCCCGTTTTCAGGAGACTTCTCAAAACACATAAGCCCTGGGTCCTGAAGGTTAGGCCTATTGTTAATCTAAATAGTCCTGGCTACTATCCCGCTGAGTTCACTGACTTTCTACTGAATCCGTATGTATGTGAGGAAAGTACTGTTCTGACCTCAACTGCGGATTTCATCAACTTGGTAGAAGGTTTGCCTGTGCGGGACGATCATTTATAATTGAGTATAGATGTGACCAGCCTTTACTACACCAACATCCCCAACGAGCTCGGTTGTCGTGGTATATCACACACAGGTGTACAAGGTGGATGCCCCTCGCCCTTCGTACATGGTTATTAACAGCAGTGACTTCCTTGATGTCAGTCATTCGGAAGAAAAATGAGTTCGTGTATGGTAACGATGTGTTTCGGCAGATCCAAGGGACTGCCTTGGGTTCGCCTGCAGCAGTGGTCTATGCCGACATTGTTATGCTGTATTTGGAGAAGCGGTACGTTTTGCCGATCTTAGACGGGGAGGGTTTAGAGGTTCAGGTTTATAGACGCTTTATCATTGCATGGTTGCGAAGGTCAAGTTCAGCGCACTTTAGATAGGAATAATAAGTGTTCGGCCCTCAAGTTTTCTCATGAACTGACACATGATGGCATTGATTTCCTGGACACCACAGTTTTCCGTAGTAAGGGATACATGGCGGTGAAGCCTCATTTCAAGGTCACCAATCGTTTCCTGTATCTGCTTGTCGGTAGTAACCACCCCTGTAGTATGGGCAAAGGTGTGTTCACTGGGGAGTTGATCCGTATCCGTCGGTCTTCGACCCTTGACCACCACTACGAAGCTGCTGCCGAGCGGCCGAAGCAGGCTTTCCGGGCCCGTGTATACAAGCGCTCCATCTTTCATCTTTCAGACCCGTACACTAGGAATGGATGCGCAGGGAAGGTATGTTGGTCAAATTGGCATGGGTTTGGGTTATTTCTGTAGTTGTATACAGTGCTCCTCATTGTATTTACCTGGGCCCGGCCTGCTGTCCTTCGCCCGTTGGTCTTGAGGTCCAGGTGTAATACCTCTACCATACAGTCCGGTGGCCAGCGCGGTTGTTGTTACACGGTGGAACATCGGCAAGAGGTTGCTTGCTCGTTTGCCTCATGCTCAGTGTCCTCAGGGAGTTAGTATTTTCCTCCTGTTTGGATTTTGCAGTGTCTATGGTGTCGGTAATTGAGTTTTTGTTCTGTATGCTTTTCTGTGGTGTGTGGCTGTTGTTCACACATCTTTATTTGACTTGCTTCCTGGTGTGGTGTACCTTTTTGTTTTTCTGAGGCGACTGAGGAGGCAGGTTTGGCCCTCGACTCTTTGGGCGCGATCAAAGTTTGTCGGAATCAGCAAGAAAAGGAGCACGGGACAGGACATTGCTGATGCTGGGGCTCACGAAATCAAAACACATCATTTTCGACTTGCAAAACAAACGTCGGTGCGAAAATTCGACATTTTGATGTTCGACAAATGACCAAAGAACCCCGAGCCGAAATTCGGAATGCAAAACCTCACTATTGCGGAGCTTTCCGGAGCTCCGAGCTAGTTGTTGTTTGGAACACAGCAAGAGAACAACATTACATTGGCGCTGCGAGCAAACGCCTGATCCTCGCCATGTCCCTACTGTCACTACCGCCTCCGGAGCCATTCCCAATCTACAGCAGTCTCTACGACACTGCTGCCCATTTTCTTGCCTGGGAACGGTGTTTCCAACTCTATGTCGCAGCACCCGGCATCTCGGATGACACTCGCCAGAGAGACACTTTCCAGTATGTGGCCGGCAAGGACATCCAGCAGCTCGTCCCTACGTTAGCTAACACTGGCAACGATCTCGACGGCCTCATAACCGCCGCCGCCGACTACTTTCAGTCGAAGCAGAGCCCCAGCATGGCCCGCTTCCACTTCCGGCAGGTCACCCAGCAGCCTGGCGAAACGTTAGACATGTTTTATACTCGTTTGCTGGCATCGGCAACGACCTGCAGCTTCGCCGACGATGCCCAGAAGAACGTGGCTCTCTGTGATCAAATTGTGGCAGGATGCACGTCCGATCCACTCCGCAGAAAACTGCTGGAGACTGCGTCCCTTGATCTCGCCAAGGTGCTCAAGGCCGCCAGAGCATTTGAAGCGTCAGTGGAACAGACGACGGCGTTCTGGCACACACAAGACTCGATCAATGCCCTTCGTCATCAGCCACCGTTCTACAAAAGGACACAGCCGCCTCCCGCTACTGTTTCAACTCCGTCGCGTCGACCGATGCAGTCTTAGCCACATCCAGCTGCAAACTCGTACCACCAGCCACCTTCCCCAGTCGCCACTCGCGCTCCAGGCCAGCGGGAATCCAGCACATCGCTCTGCTACCGCTGTGGAGAGCCAGGCCACCCTGAGTCGCGTCGCTACGCAGTTTTGCACTGTAAACGTCTGCCCATGGGCGTATCGTCCGCATCCGAGATCCTACAGCGCACACTGGACGCCATGGCTCGCTGGCCTCGACGGTGTGAAGAACGTCCACGACAACATCTTCAACTTTGGTAAGAGCGTCGAAGAGCACAACCGACGACTCGCCGCCTGCCTCCAGCGGCTCCAAGATCACAACGTTACACTCAACCTAGCCAAATGTCACAAATGTCACATCCTCAAGCCTCGGCTCAAGTTCATGGCTAGCGTCTACTCCGACAAGGGCATCCGCGCCTCTCCCAGCCACCAGCAGTCTGTGGCTACATTCTCTACGCCATCTTGCGTCAGCGACATACAGAGTTTCCTGGGTCTCACCAACTTCCTCCGCCGTTACATTCGTAACATGGCCGATCTCACCACGCCACTCCCTGCTCTCACTAAGAAAGGTACTGTTTGGCGTTGAACTGATGTTGAGCAGCAATCATTTGATGCACTGAAGAACGCCATCGCCGAAGACTGCATGCTGCAATACTTTGACCGCAAGCGATACACATCACTGTATGTCGACGCATCGCCCACCGGCCTCGGCGCAATCCTGTGTCAACGCCAAGACAACGGCCACGATGCACCTGTCGCATTCGCCAGCCGTGCACTCTCCGGCGTCGAGCAGCAATATTATCAAACTGAACGGGAAGCATTGGTGTCAAGTTTGGCTGCCTTCGCTTTCACCACTACTTGACAAGGTGATCCACAGTTCACCATTGTCACCGACCACAAGCCGCTCCTGCAACTCATGGCCGTCGGATCGAGACCTCCGCCACGAATTGAGCGCATGGTCCTCCGCCTGCAGGATCTCAGCTTCCAGCTCCAGTACAAGCCTGGCCCAGAAAACCTATGAACCTCTAAGCCGAATGCGTTGGCTCTGAAGGAGATTGCGGACGCCACCACCGCAGACACCTCTCTGCAATCTGGCCGCTGGGATTCCAACCACACCACGGTCCGCTCGTACTTTGCCCTTCGCCATGAACTGTCTGAGAGTGACGGTCTACTACTCCGCAACGACCGTCTCGTCATTCCCACGGCCCTCCAACGGCTTACCCTGCAGCTTACACATGCGGGCCACCAAGATATTGTCCGCACCAAGCAACGGCTCAACAGCAAGGTTTGGTGGCCCAACATGGCTACTGAAGCCGAAGCACTCTGCCGGCAATGTATTCCGTGCCAAGCAACTCTCTCAACGACACCGCTACGTCCGGGAGTCCATGCCCACACCACCGTCCACCAAGCCGTGGCAACGAGTCTTCGTCGATTTGTATGGACCCATGCCTAACGGTCAGCACCTGCTTGCCCCTATCGACCAGTTGACTCGCTACCCGGTCATCAACGTGTTCAGCACGACACCTACTACGGCCGGTGTTGTTAAAGCTCTGCGCTCTACATTATCCATGTTCGGCTTGCCCGAAGAGCTAGTCTCGGACAACAGTCCTCAGTTCCGTTCTTCGGCTTTTGCTGATTTCCTCGCGCAACACGCTATCCAGCACCGCCACACCCCTCCTTTGTGGCCACAAGCAAACGGAGCAGTCGAGTGCCTCAACCGTACCATTGGCAAAGTTCTGCCAACTGCCAAACTAGCTGGCGAAGACATCAATGTTGCATTAGACCAATGGCTCCTAGCGTACCGCACCACGCCACACCCTGCCACTCACGAGGCACCGGCAACACTCATGTTTGGTCGCCCCATCCGCGACAGCATACCCTGCATTACGGCAGCCGCACCAGACTTGCCTTCAGCTGCCCACCGTGACCAGCAATTCCGCCAATCCCAGTGCGACGCTGCCAATGCCACCCGCCGGTCAAACGCCCCCATCCTCACTCCTGGTCAGCGCGTCTTACGCCGCAATGAGCAGGCACACAAGCTCTCACCACAGTGGGATCCCAACCCCTGGACCGTGGACCAGATCTCTGGGTCTACGGTGACAATCTCCAACTCAGAAACTGGCCAAAGATCGACTCGCCATAATTATGTCGTTCGTCAAGCCCGTAATTGTTGTCACACCGCCAGCCCATCACCCACTACCAGCTGAAAGTTCTGCCACCACACCTTACAAAATTACAACAAAATCACATGCAAGAAGTCCTTTCACTTTGACTACTGCTCGTTGCGTGACATCACTCCTCACCAAAGGACTTCCTGGGGATCACAATCCTAAACAGACAAATGTACGAATACCGCAACTGCCTCTGTTGTTCTGCACGCCACGATCAACACGACTGCGTGCAAGACACAGCTGATCATCGTCGCTGTACTCTTCCCTGAGCACGTTACCCTGTCGCTGCAGCCTGCGACGGACATTCCATAGTTCCACCAACTTGATGGCTTGATGTTCCCATTGACGTCGACCATGCGGTGTTGCCGTTGACGACCTTCAACTTCAGGTCCTTGCCGTGGTCCGCACCATTCAAGAGATGGGCCACATTTGGTGTACGTTCACCCAGTTGGTCACTTATTTTAACCTTGCCGACTTTCCACTGCCGGACTGTTGCTTCAACAACTTGCGGAGAGCATATACGCATACTGTAGAGGCAGAAAATTTCGTCGGTCAATAATTTCGTCCAACTCCAAAGAAAAGGAGTTCGTCCGGTTGAAAATTTCGTCCATGGATCATAAGAGTGTATAGAAACGCTGGACAAATCGATATTCGTCCTACATTTAATTTAGTCCAAAAGCTCCTTGGACGAAAAAGACGAAATTAAATTCCAGACGAATATTTCTGCTTATACAGTATCATCACTCTTCCTTGCAAACATCATTTCCGTCTCCACCACGTCCTTATCAGCCTGATCCATGCCTGACACCCCCAAGGCACTGTCCCCTGTGCCGCCGGGCTGGTGGAGCGACGGACCGATTCTCCAGTGACGGTCGTCGTCCACAAGGCTGTTGGAGTGCGCATCCAAGATGTGCTAGAGCTGTTCAGTGTCGTGCAATGCTATCGCATGAGCTGATTGTTTAGTAACTGGTGGTGTTAGTGGACAGTATAGCGTAACTTGTAGTTCCTTGGTCTTTCTCTTTTGTATAAACAAACTAGTAAGCTAACGATAAACTAGTTACACTGAGACAATTCGACAGGCACAAATTACAACAAAATCACATGCAAAATGTGCTTTCACTTTTACTACTGCTCGTTGTGTGACAACCACCATCATCAGTGTGCGCATTGCGCCTGGTTTGGTGCATGCCTGGTGGAATATGACATAGCGGCTGATGCAGTGGGCACGTCAGGTAACACCTAACGCATTGAAAATGACTCAACTATTACTTGGTTCGATTGCAACAAACCTAATGATAGTGGTACCGAAACATTCGGGTAACCGGAGTAAGTGCCAATTGATATTTTTGGCTCCAGTCAGTAAAGTAATTCAATTGCAATACAATTATATACGTACGGTGGAACTCACTTAGTACGTACCCGGGTAAGACATACACCTGCATAGCACGATCCTCTTTTGTCGCACGGATTTTCCTCCCATAAGCGCATATTCAGATGTGTACGGATACCTTCTGTTCATGTGATTCATTGTCGCTGTGTTACTGTATGCAGATCTCACTCAGCTCTGCTCTCCGAGCATTCTGCATCCAACACGACTTCCCGAAAGGTATGTATGGTGGCTAATAAATAATGCGAGAGTCTTTACAGATTCCAGTGCTCTCATGCCTTTTGCAAGTTCCGTTTGTAAGTCAAATGGAACATGGTTTGTGGTCAATACTTCAGCAGTAGTGGTGCGAGAATATTCGGGTGTCAAATTGCTCGGAATTGATGTATGATAACGGAGAATATACCAACATGTGAATCACTTGGAGATATGGTTTGCCAGGTTCTGTTCACACTCACTAGGCTAGACCCTCTCGAATATTGTACAACAGTTTTGGCCCAGGAGTGGTAAAGGGCACGGGGCAAGCTATGTCGGGACCTGCTGTAAAGTCCGCCATACACGAGCAGTACGTCTTATCGGATGGGATATACCCCTGATATTGCTGATAATGAATGGCCCAGTTTCATTGTACTGCTGTCCGCGATATTATATCCTTAGTGGCATTGTTAACTTCTCATTGCTTGTGGGGACGCATGGATCATACGTCCACCCAACACCTGCCAATCGGAACCCACCGACAACGCTGTCGGTTGGGTTGGACCACAATCGGTTGGTTTTTGAGTCCAAGATGCCGCCTAGGTAGCACACAGCATTGCTAATCTGATTTTAAATTAGCTGCGCAAATCCTGGCATACTGCCCGTAAATGCATCTAACTCCCAGGGTACTTATGAGTTTTTAGGTCTATGTGGTACTTGTGTCGCATTGGCAGCCACTGTTCCGTTCTGTATTTTCTGGTCTATGTGTCGTTGAATCTCCACAGAAAATGTGCTCGCGCATTAGAAGGAGGTGAAAGATGCACCTGCAGGAGAATACATGCTTAAGAGAAGGCAGAAACATGCCCGGATCCACCAGAACTAGTGCTGGCAAGTCAACAGAGGCGAGTACTGATAATGTTCCAGATTGTGGTAGGATCACATAAGCAAAATTGACACTGGGAGGCACGGCGGTGGGTCAGCTCATGGCCAGCGCCAGCTCCAGTGGATATCACGTGCATCCAGTTCTAGTACTATAGTATGACTGCTACAAAGTAGTGCGGCCCAAATAGAACTCGGGTCAGGTGCCGAAGAACTGGGGGGTGGGGGGGGGCATGTATCAATGAATGGTAATAACTCCGGAAATCATGCTGGTGTATCGAGGGCGTGGGCCAATGAAGTGCTGGATTGATGGTGGACGACTGTACTGCAATCTTGGCTGGTCCCACTATCGCAGAGACAGCACTTCCTGGTGCAACCACCCTATCCTGCAATCTATATAATAATTATTATAAGAGATTTGTGTGAACGATTTTAGCATGATGCAAGTCAGCTTATTGTGCTGGGGGCCTGGCTACATGTCACTATAGCTTTTTATAGACTCGATCACCGCATTACGCTGCCTTGCGTTGACTTGATTGAGCACTCTTTTTGGTTAGTGTCAAAGGTATATGTAATATGTATCTGCCTTCGTGCAAAGCTCTCTTTGTGCGTGTCTTGCAGATAGCTCGCTGACTTTGATGCTTTGAGCCATTTTCAAATTGCTTTTTTTGTTCATTTCATATAGACCGTATTGCCATTTGTTTAACCTCCCGCTCTGAGCTCCACTGATGGGACCTAAAAAAGGCTGAAACAGCTGTCTGGAGATTGAGCGTCAGTATTATGGATTTAGAATACACGATCTGGGGACAGCACTAGTACTGTCTAGCTGTTTCGTCCTTTGTGGACTCATTAGCGAATCACGGAGAAATAACTCTTAACTAAGGATGAACCTAGCAGCCATGAAAATAGATAAATAATGCCTCCAAGCCAGAATTCAAGGCTACATGTGTAGGCCCGAATGTGCCTTGCCCAAGTGCTGAAACTGATAAGTCATTGAGATACGCATAGAACATCTGGCAAAGGAACTACTAAAGCCCCCACAAGCACGGTATTCTACTTCAACAAGGAAGAATTTTGAAAGCATGCACAGCCCTACATGTATAATGTTGGTATAGGTAAGCCTTGTTTGATAAATTAACATAAGGCGGGGGACGCACTGTGTTAAAAAACAGTGCTCCTGATACACTAGTGTGTCCTCGGCTTTGTCACATGCTGTCAACCGATCAACACATACAACGTTGCATGCAAAACGGCTGCAGCCTCGAAGTACGGAGTGCTATTTTGGAAAATGCTAGATGTACAGCCTGTACTTATACAGGTGTTCTATCAACTAGTGCCATTATGACAACGGTAGCTGAATGATACATGTACATAAACCCGGGGTCATCATTTCAAGAACCTCTGGGTCTAAGCCCGAAGTAACATTCAACTACATGACTGTATACACCATCATGTATACACCATCTTCGTAGTAACTGAGTCTACCCCTCACCCACTACTGCCACTGTGACCACAATTGCGCACAAACAGAGGACCTTAGAGGACCTACTTCTAACTACAGTGCTGGCCAAAGAAATCCAACCTTATGAATAAAATTGCACCGGGCGCTACGCAGCCCTAGTAGTAAACATACTGGACCGGTCTGTGCTCTCGAACGCGGCGCTACTTTATTAACGAGGTTGGATTTCTCTGGCCAGCACTGTACAAAATACACACATGCACACACAACACTGCTAGGCTTTCCACCACCACACTAGGTTTTGAAACCGAAGAGTGGCAAAATTCAGGGCCAGACTAGAAAATCTGGGGAGACCTGATGGTTTTTTAAAGCAAAACACAGCCAACACTCTGCAGCCTCACAGCCTCCGGCAGGTTTTCCCGAGCGCACAAAATTAAAAGTTGTTGAGGCACCACGAATACAGTCGGGCGTCACAGAACGTGGGACCCAGGAATGTACGTGTATACCTCTAGGTACACCACAGCCAATAACGTTTTAAAAAGAAACGCAGTGTCAATAGACTCGAGTCTCTGCTTTTCTGGAATACAGATTCTGCTACACACGTATTGCTCACTATCCAGTGGGATGTGCATCTAAGAAAGTGGTACAAGAAGTCAAGGAACTAAGCCTAAGGCCAGATTGCTGAAAGGTTTTGTATAACTGACGAGCCTAACCCCTTGGAAACAACAGCTGTGGATGCGTGGCTCTACTGTAATAAATGTACAGGTACACAAACAATTTGAATGCAGAAATAACAACAACAAACAGGGAGAGGTGTAGGAAAATATACTCGGCCCCTAGTGAATTTGCTTGTGTATTAGCTTGAAAACTTTGGGTACACTTGTTGAGAGACCTAACTGCATGCAGCTAAAATATGGAGTGCCGTTGTCACCGACGACTTTTCCAGTAAAGTTGCGGCTAACATCTTCTCAGGTATTCCCGGGTCTTCGCTAAGGCCGTAAGGGTGGATGATATCATGTGCGTCTTCTATTGCTGATGTCGCTACACTCGATGGTGGTGCTGATGTACTGATTGTGGTGGAAGATATTGAGATGCCGTATGTCTCGAACCTTTTCGCTAGGTCTCCGCGGCCATCGCGCAAGAGGGTCGGGAGCACCACAACTGCAACGCCACAGATCCAAGGATCGATTCTCGGACAAAACATTCTTCAGATTGCCAAAGGTCCCCAGTGCTTGGCAATACTGGCCTGTACAGCATGAACACACCACACATACGCCCACACACCATGTACCATGTAAACGCCCGTTGCAGGAGAAGCACGCAAATCTGCAAATGAATTGGATGTGCACCCACAGATTTTCTCGTATAGGAACAATAGCTGATCTGAATCTGAATAAAACAGATCAAGACTAGTGCCAGATAACAGTCTAATCCGCACACGGCAACTGGCGCAGCCATGTGAATCTCGAGCAAAATGGACAAACATGTCCCCAATTATCAGCAAACGGGTGTGCGTTACAGGATTGGCCTGGCAACTTCAAACAGACACAATCCACTAACGTGGTGCCCCGTCAACTTCAACGGGAACACACCGATACAAACACAGCCCCACAACAGCAAAACGGGAACGCCGTTACAAATATGGTGCCCTGGCAACTTAACGGGAACGCACCAACACAAGCTGGCCTGGCACCTTCAAACAGGCACAACTGACAAAACACGGCATCCAGCAACAGCAAATGGGTAGGTACACCGTTACAAGAACAGTCCATCGCACCAAAATGCTGCTGCCACAACATTATAGCAGCAGCACGCCAGACATGCATACATGGCATTCCCAAAAGCAGATACCTGGCCTGGCAACTTAACGGGAACGCACCAACACAAGCTGGCCTGGCACCTTCAAACAGGCACAACTGACAAAACACGGCATCCAGCAACAGCAAATGGGTAGGTACACCGTTACAAGAACAGTCCATCGCACCAAAATGCTGCTGCCACAACATTATAGCAGCAGCACGCCAGACATGCATACATGGCATTCCCAAAAGCAGATACCTGGAGTCAAATTCATCCATCACACTGTTTGTTAGGGCTGAATTTTCCAGTGACAATAGGAAATCCCGCCTAAGGCTCATGTGATGAGATCTGTACACCAACTCAGGGTATATTCTAGGACGAATTTCCAACCGGTTACGGTACAATGAAGAGTCGGGGGGTCCCCCTCCGGAAATAGTTTTCAAAATACAACCCAAATATGGCACTCGACAGCAATTTAACAGATTTCTTGGTGCTGGAGTGTCGCGCGGAGCTGTTGGACTGTAGCAACGCCGTTGCTACAGCTCGATGACGTGGTTCGACCGTACAAACCGTACAAACTCGTGACCCTAGTACCAGCCCACGCGGCTTCGCTGGAAGTATCCATCCAGAAAAAAGCGTATGACCATTCACAGCTCCATTCACCCACAGAAAAGTACGGGCGGTTGGAACTGATTTGTAACTTTTCAACCGGTCGCCAACTATTTCAACCGGTCGAAAACCGGTTGGGGCGGTTCTAGAAAATTCCCTGCAACTATAGTCACAGTATCAATGCACATTAGTAGAGCATAAGAACTCACTTGCGATCATACCCTGTCACGTAGAGATGCTACTCTACGTGTACTGTTCCGATGTCCATTGGGGTGGTATGCCGGCCACTTGCCAGATGTAGAGCTTTTAAGCCGTACTTTGCCACCGTCTGCTTGCCGTATCACCACCTCACTTGCAACTCTGGATTCCAGGACTGTCGCTCCAACAATGGGCATGGAGCGGGAGCTAACCTGATAACAGTTGAGAGCGTGACAGAGTATCTTATTTAAATAAGGCCGAGTAAGGTGGATCCCTTTGGCAAAAGTGAACACAGGCTTGGTGCTACAGGCATGGGCTGTCATGTACCGGAATAGCCAATACCGGGCATGTTTGGAGACAGTAGATGGAACTGCGACGGCTCCACCGTATATGGCCGCGTCTTAGTGACTTTCAGGCGCAACGTGACCAAGTCAGGTGCGAGACTCCCAGCCTCCCACACAAATACTCTTTGGCTGTCAAACGAGTGAATACTAGTAGATGATGCTAAATACTCGCTGGCAAACAATAAGCCATACAAGGCCAGTAGTATACTTACCCACAGCATAGACTGATCTACAATATGACTGATTGGATCGTTGTAAGTATTGCCGAAAATGGATTAAGTCGTCCACTAAAAGCTCTTTGAAACTCGGATGTTGAGCCAATATGGCAATAATAAAATTAATGTAGAAAGGAAAAGGACGTATGGATATGAGTGTAGAGTAACTGTCACTATATACTAAATACAGTCAGAAAGTGCAACAACCAGGCACTAAAACATTTGACGACCCGACTCCTGGCTTCAACACATCTCCGTAGTGTTAAGGAGAGACCAAAGAGGGAAAGGTAATACTGGTTTCGTCATCGTCCAGTAACAATCAACATTTCTTGTTCTTGTGGGACTGTAGCTTCAACTACTAGCTTGTGCTCATTTTCGTTGCGCTTACCTTCCCCTCTTTGGTCTCTCCTTTTAACCTTGAACCTTCCAAGTTGGAAGGCTGTTGGTTAGCGCTACGGAGATGTGTTGAAGCTAGGAGTCAGGTCGTCGAATGTCTCAGCACTCTGTCAGTTTTGTGCCTAGTTGTTGCATTTTTTTACTGTAGTAGCTAGTTACAGTGGTGGACAGTTACGTATCCATATGTCCTTTTCCTTTCTAATAAAAGCTCTATCCGCAAATATGCCGAGGTGGCTTGCCGTATCTCCCTCTATGCCATGCAACACAACTGTTGAGCGAGCAGCTTTTAGGCCAGCCCCATTGCACAACAGGTAATAGGCTACTAATAGCGTAACGCAGCTAGGTAAACACGAATCGATGAAAGAGGCAGACTTCTTAGAACAAAGAGACTAGTTGTGAAGGACACAACATTTTCAGCAGTCAGCAGTAGGAGAAATTGCTCTTAATTATGCAGCAATACTAGGCTTACACGTTTGTGTCATGCGTTCTGAGACGGAGTCCTGGACTAGCTCGTCACTGGCCGCACTCAGAGCAGCAGTCGTCACTACACATGGGTTGGGAAGCAATGGACAAAATTAACACTTGCCATGCACACATGCACTGCTTACCAGCTAAGTTAATATGTCATACTGTACTGCAGCAAGCAAGGAACTGGCAATACCTGCACCAGGCCTATCTACTGTGACCCATGCCATTGTGAATGAAAAGAGGCAGCATTTGACAGTATGAGCGGTGTGATGAACGGGAATGCATAATACAAGCCAGTCGAGCATTGGTACATGTACTTACGGACGCAAGTTGGCTGCACACCGCTCCACTGGCCGTTGATTTCACAAGTACACACGGCCGAGCCCATAAGGACATAGGGAGACTGCACACAAACGTGGTCGTGTTGCTGAACATCAAGCCGTTCACGGTCATTGAGCCCAGTGCCGGTGGTGACAGGACCTGGCAGTCGTTTGACCTGCACAAGCACAGAGTGCACAGAGCACAGGCATTCAGTGCATGCATGTTTGGCCTAGGGGTGAAACGAGTGCCAAAATTGAGGACTCGAGTACTCTTTGAAAAAACGAGCGAGTATTCGAGCGAGTACGAGTATTTTACTGACAACATAAAACAATGTACTGCACACACTCTCGTAACACTGAACGTATTACACCTGATACACATGTAGTCTTGCATGCAGCCTAGTGCAGGAAATAGTCTGAACTACGTCTTTTGTTGGTAAGTAGGGACAAGTAATAATTTCACACTTGCATGGGTTATCAGTACTGGTCAGAGTAACAGACGTGCTTGATGTACAAGCATACAGTACACTGTGCATAAGATACTTGAGTATTTTGCGAAACGAGTCCTCACTCCTTTCGAATTTTCGAGCAAGCGCTCGAGTATTCGATATACTCGTTTCATCCCTAAAACGTTTGCGTATGTGTGCGTGGCACAGACATTGGTTTTGAATACATTGTAGTACACGCATTGTGTAAAGGAAATTGATGCGAAGACTGCCTCAACATGGCCATGCAAAGTAATAAAATAAATACAGCAGTGAATAGCGGTCAACAGTAGCTCTACATTTTGCTTGTAATAGAAGTCATTAGCGTCAGAGCAAGAAGAGGGACAAGACGAGTCAAGGGACAATCCGGAGGACGCAATATCATACGACCAACTGTTTGTTTCTACCAGCGTTATTGTACCGTCGACACAGCTCTGACGACGATATACTGGGCGAATGCCGCGGGGCCTCCCAGCGTGTCAACGGCAGTGGGTGATGGGCAGATAACAAGGTAGCTTGCGGACAACATCGGTGGCATGAAGCCTAGTGACTGCCAAGCGTCTTGGCGCGACGGGCGAGCAGTACAGTGTCATGCCCCAGGGGCTGCTGTGGCTGTCGACGTCGGCGGGTCTTGAGGTGCGTTCGCAGGCCTTCATGGCGCTCGGACAACTGCAATACTAGTACACAGACTCTCACTACTAGCTACATAGTACTCTGATTCTGGCACGTTATTTCTGCATTGAATAGTGATTGATTTTCCGCGCCGAATATCCGACGCTGCATGCATGTCCAATGCGCGTCAACAGTACTTCACACTTTCCTTTTCCCGCGTTATCACCTCAGCTATGTCAGTTTTGTATGTGGAAACCCCCTATATAATAGCAGTTTGGTCTATATTTTTAATCATTCAATATCTACCTTCACTGATGAGCTATGTATTAGCGAAACAGCTGTCTGAAGGAGTTTATCAATATCGTCTACGGAAGTGTCCTCACAATGATGATGGTTGTGTGCAGGAGGGTCTAGTCGGCTAAAGAGCGCAGTGTGGTGGTGGAGGTGACTCAACATTTTCTTCAATGGCCGAGAGCTCTGTCGCACCCTGTAATAATAATAGAAGTCATGGTACTACTATCAGTGCTGCTGCTGGTGCTTACCTGGAGCTGGTGTGACCTTGCCTGGGCAGTACTGTGCATCAGAGCCATCAGCACAGTCGTACCAAACACCGTCGCAGCGCTGTGATGGCAGGATACAGCCACAGGCTGGAACGCAGGCAGGGCAGGTAGCCAGACTGGCACTGCAGTTGAATGGCTGGATACACGTACCCATACACACAACACACAAAGCAGTCAAGAGATGAAGAAAGTGTCTGCTCGGCACATCTTTTGTACAGTCAAGAGATATTAGCATATTTGGAGGAGAAGGTAGCCTAAAACAGGCTCGACAAAAGTTACCGGCTTATGCCAACAACTCAGTGTTCTGGTAGAGTAGACGGTTCGATACCGGAACGCCTTGACAGCCAAATTTGTATAGACCCAAACCGATCATCAGCGTTGATTTTTCACTCGAAATATGTTTGTGGAAGGAAACTGGCATGTTGAAGTTTGCTCTGGGGCCAGAGTCAATCGAACTGAGCCACTCCTTTGTGTTGACCCATTGCCTCCAAGTTGCCCAATTTTTCGCTTCAAAAAAGTTCAAATCAGAGGTGGCTCCAAACCGGACACGTTTTAGAGTGCACGTCAAATTCACTTTGGGTCTGAAATTAGCTAATTGCTATCGCTCCACGACAGCCAGTACAGAGTAACAATAAGCCTTGTGTGTGCTTCCATTAGTTTTTATTGGTATGCGGTGCTTTATTGGAAAGAGGCGAGCCGCTGTTTACCTGCGACAAGAAGTAGATTTTTCGAAAGTCGTAAAACTCAAGTCGCAGTGCGAAGCAACACGTCAAAAACTCACCTGCTTGGTATGGCGCGTCTGGTCATCGCAGAGCCATGAAATTTTGGCTCGGAGTATAACACATCGTAGTCTCACTGTGACATATGTTTTCTAATCAAAATACCAAGAGAGAAAGTGAATATTGAGTCCGTTCCGGTTTGCAACCTGTGTCCTATTTGAAACCGTCGCCTCTACCCGGTGAAACACCCTAACCATACACCTACAAGTATAACATATATCCTAAGGACTCAGGCTGAGATGCCCGACTGGTCCTGGGTCCTCTGATAAGCACGATCATCATTTGTGATGATGAAAAGTGGCAGGTAACACCCAGACTATTACATGCTCTGTAAATAGGAAAGATCAACGCCACCAGAATCTGCCTTCCTACAAGCCTGAAGCTTCTCTACACAAGAGGGATATATCGGCTCTCTTGAAATTCAACTTACGATTACATGAGGCAGCTTCCCCACTCCAGGAACCGTCAATCTGGCAGATGCGCACAATGCTTCCCTGCAGGTTGTATCCGGAATTTCAGCCGAAGACGACGCTGCCTCCAGCAGAATAGTTTGTGCCCTGGGAGTAGCCGTTGGTCGGTTTAGCTAGCGGTGTGCACACACCGGCTGTACACGTCACAGGCACGTACACACACAGGCACGTACACACACAGGCACACACACACACACACACACACACACACACACACAGGCACACACACACACACACACACACACACACACACACACACACACACACCTTGACCTTGATACACAAGGATTCTTCATTATTTGCCACGTTTGAGCTGAGCTGCGATCATCGCGCTTTGTTGCAGTGTGCTAAAAAAACAAGAACAAAAAAAACGGCCAAAAAAGTGGGGCGGCTGAGGCCGCCCCAGCCACCCCAGCTGTGCCGGCCTTGCATGCCTGGTGTACGGTCTGAAAGATGAAAGATGGAGCTCTTGTATACACGGGCCCGGAAAGTCTGCTTCGCCTGCTCGGCAGCAGCTTCGTAGTGGTGGTCAAGGGTCGAAGACCGACGGATACGGATCAACTCCCCAGTGATCACACCTTTACCCATACTACGGGGGTGGTTACTACCGGCAAGCAGATACAGGAAACGATTGGTGACCTTGAAATGAGGCTTCACCGCCATGTATCCCTTACTACGGAAAACTGTGGTGTCCAGGAAATCAATGCCATCATGTGCCAGTTCATGCGCAAACCCGAGGGCCGAACACTTATTAATCCTGTCTAAAGCGCGCTGAACTTGACCTTCGCAACCATGCAATGAAACAAAAATGTCACTGATAAAGCGTCTATAAACCTGAACCTCTAAACCCTCCCCCTCTAAGATCGGCAAAATGTACCGATTCTCCAAATACAGCATAACAATGTCGGCATAGACCACTGCTGCAGGCGAACCCATGGCAGTCCCTTGGATCTGCGGAAACAAATCGTTATCTTACACGAACCCGTTAGTCTTCCGAATGACTGACATCAAGGAAGTCACTGCTGTTGTTAACCGTGTACGAAGGGCCGGGGGCATCCACCTTGTATACCTGTGTGTGATATACCACGACAATGCCACGTGACCGAGCTCGTTGGGGATGCTGGTGTAAAGGCTGGTCACATCTATACTAAAAATAAATGATCGTCCCGCACAGGCAAACCTTCTACCAAGTTGATGAAATCCGTAGTTCAGGCCAGAACAGTACTTTCCTCACGTACATACAGGTTCAGTAGAAAGTCAATGAACTTAGTGGGATAGTAGCCAGGACTATTCAGACTAACAATAGGCCTAACCTTCAGGGCACAGGGCTTATGTGTTTTGATAAGTCTCCTGAAAACGGGCATACGCCCCCGGTGCGACTAAGAACAGTGACATATAAAATGGTCATACGATGCCCGATGCGATGCCTAGTCATGGTGAGTAAACAATTGACTCGGGTCGCAAACACGAAGTCTCAACACAGCCTTGAGCCTGTTGGTTGCCATCGGCAGTCTAGCCACATGTTCATCTAGCCCCTCAGGAAAAAAAACAGTCATTTATAATGTTGGGCATTGTGATGCTGGGCACGACCTATATCATCATAGTGAGATCCGTCCAGGACTACTATCACAATAGACTGCCTTTGAATATGCCCGAGTCTGATCGCGTTCTAATTCCCAAACTATGTGCTGCATGTGTACACTCCGCCTATGGTTAGTCTACTCCAGAACAACGCCTGGAGAGGTTCATTGGGGGCATGATGTCCCCCACCCCATCCCCCTTGCCCCCTGCACCTGAAGTACCGGTATTGCCCCCCCCCCCCCCCAAATAAAGTACAGGACACAGATGGAGCACTGGGGAGCACGTAGCAGTAGGCAAGTTGACGATGCCAGTGCAGACACACCTCACCTCGGTCACCACACTGGCACAGTCATATGGTCTCCAAGGAACATAGCTACCAGAGAACACACAGAATGGGAGTATATAGTGCTATCCCAGAGGATAGACAACCTCCTATACAAAAATATCTACTGATAGAGTTCTGTGTAGACCCTATGTGCACATATGTGTGGATGAGTACTGGTAAACGGACAGCTAACCCTAGTCTAAGTAAAATAAATGTAGAATGTAGACCCTGGGCAAAAAAATAAGTAAATAAAAATAATAGCAACACATCAGGGAACTCGGATGGAGAGCCAAGGATTAAAATTAAAAAAGAGGACCATAAGTTTACGAGGTATCCGTTTTTTCCAACACTAACGGGTATAAACGTGATGCAGCTAAGCATCAGGTCGTTGAATGTCATGATCTCATCAGTCAGTTTTTGTGCTGATTGTTGCACATTTTTGACTCAACAGTATTCTGCATATAACCGTTAGTGTTGGACAAAACGGATAACTTGTAAACATGAGGGAACACTCATCCTTACCCAAGTCCCAACGTCAGCACTCGGCGCCGCTCCGAACCAAGTGGAACATTGGAGAGATCGTCCATCAGCTCCTCTCTCGTCCTGCGATCAAATCGCCTAATGCTAAAACACAAGAAGATAGGAAAGGCAAGTAGAATAAATAAATCAATAAAATAATAAACAACAATACAAGTTTGAACAGCTCCAAACGTAATGGACGATCCGAACAAGACCAATGATATACCTAGAAATTCTAGAAGGCACTAGGAAACATCCATACCTGCTCAAACTGAAGAGGACAACATAGAAAAAGGTAAAAGAGGGCACTACTCAAGTGTTCCTGGGATAGCTATGGTCTTTGCTATGCTATTGATTTGTAGTCTGATTCATCTGAAAAACGAAGTTTCAACTTTCAAGCATTTAATTTACAGTCCTACCCTCGTTAGTATGACATCGGTTGCAAGACAAACCTCATTAGCAGACAACGATCCAAAATCCCATGAATCATTAGCAGTCGTACATGCAAGTCCGGATAAGAGATTATTCGTTTGTAGACCAAATTCGTTATAACGTCCCCTCCAGCTGTCCCACAGGTTTGAATTCTCATTACAAGAAAAAGCGGATGGCCGAGGATAGCTCGATTGATATTTCATGTTGTCTTGTATCGGGGTCCGATGAAACATTGTCTGATAATGGGTTGTCTTGTACAGGGGTCTGGTGGAAAACACTGTCTAATAACAAGGAACCATCAGTTCTGATGTGGACACAATATGGATGATGCAAAGCAGCAGAAAAATGTACTCGTTATCAGACAAAAAAAGTTGATACCCCCAGGGTTGTCTCCTAACAAGGGTAGACCTACGAAATAGTGGTTGCGACTTCGGCGAAGATTGTTAGGAAAGGGTTTGCTCTCGACACTGGAGCTCACGCTATTCCGCCGCCTTGACTTTACACTTGACTGACTGACAGCTGCCACCCAGAGCACACGAAAAGTCCATCCAACCTTCCACTCGGAAAACCTGCAAGAAGGGACCACTCCCTGCTCAATACACAGTGTTTCGGGAAAATTTACCCTCGTCAGTCGAGTTTGAGTAGGCTGAGGAAGATTGTGCCTGAGAAGCACCATTTATATAGTGCTCTCCAGGTCCAAACATCACCAGGGATACAAACTTACAGAGACGCTCCGTTTGCAGCGCGACAAACACCTCGTGAGCACCAGATAGCAGTGCGAGTCAGTGTCGCTCCTGGACAGTGAAAGCTGTATATTGACACAGAGAGAGAGAGAGAGCGGGGTAGAGAGAGAGAGAGAGAGAGAGAGAGAGAGAGAGAGAGAGAGAGAGAGAGAGAGAGAGAGAGAGAGAGAGAGAGAGAGAGAGAGAGAGAGAGAGAGAGAGAGACAGACAGAGAGACAGAGAGAGACAGAGAGAGGGAGAGAGAGAGAGAGAGAGAGAGAGAGAGAGAGAGAGAGAGAGAGAGAGAGAGGGAGAGAGAGAGAGAGAGAGAGACACACACACACACACACAAACACACAGAGACAGACAGACAGACAGACAGACAGACAGACAGACAGACAGACAGACAGACAGACAGAAGGAGAAAAGACAGAGATCCGGGATGTAACATCATCATGACATCGGCCGTTGCTGTATGTTGGATCCAAGGTAACGAAAAGACGACACATGGGCAATCTCCATGGTTCGAGTCGCGAGCGGCTCTAGACCGTCGTTAGAGGTGGGGGCCAGAAACCATGATTTTGGTTTGGGTGGGGGGGGGGCACACGCACACACACACACACGCACGCACACACACACACACACACACACACACACACACACACACACACACACATGCATGCACACACACACATATACACATACATACATACACACACACACACACACACACACACACACACCTTCCTTCCTTCTTCCACTGCCATGACTGGCTATGTGGCCCCATACGGGGCAGACCAGGAGACGTGTTGTCCACCGGACGGGGAACGCCATACTCAGCGCGCGCGGGCCGCGCGAACAGCGTTACACTTGTGCGTCGCAATATCCTGTGGCCGACGAAAACTGCGCGCACAAGTGCCACAAATGAGGGGCTTCGCCACAGGCTCCATGCGGGACTGGACAATAGCGTCGACAGCGTCACGGCAGGTGACCCGCCATCCCTGTCGATCTTGGACGATGTCACCAAGCTGCTCCAGAGGAACGCCAACACACACACACACACACACACAGACACACACGGACACACACACATACACACATACTTTGTACCATGTATATGCCCGTCACAAGAAAAGCACGCAAAGTTGTGGAAGTCAGGTCTCGCTGGACCAACCAGAATGGAGCTGCTACGGGCCTGAGCACGCAGCTTCCCCCAAGTTGCAGAAGGCAATGCAGTGCTGCAAGTGGCAGGCAATCCTACGTGAAAAATTGGCACATACACCTCCATATTAATAATTCCAACGAGAGAGCTCAGTTGAAAGCTCAGGGCCCTCACTATCTTTTTTGCCTAGGTTATCATGCATTATGCGATAGGAATAAACAACAGTTTTATTCGGCTGAAATAAAGGATACCAATAGACCCCACTTGTACTTGGCTGAAATAAATTGTTCATCGTTGTTATATCATTTAGTTTTTCATTTCGATATCGCACAAATAAAGAGCGCTTGGGCTTGAAGGCTAGAGAGGGCTTGACCGCCCAGGAGCCCTCGCTATGCTTAATATTTGCCTAGGTCATCATGTGTGTTGTTCGAACTGATAGAAACGTCTTTGCAATACAAAAACATGTGCATGACAATCAAAACTTTAGTTCATAAACGCACATCGATACATAACTCAAAACTCAAACTCTCAGACAGGTACATTCTACCAAGTAAAAGTAAATATAATAATAGATTACGCTTTGGTACTAGCTTATTTCATTTTTTTCAAGCCCTGTTTCAACATGTGGCCAGCAGTCTTTGCCAGAATGGTACGGAACATCAACGGAATAGGGCCAGGCTGGTGCGTAACATGATGATGGCCCCGCACACCGAACAAGTTCGAGCATGAGAGCATGTATTTTCTCCTGCTGAATGTATGCCTGTGCAGCGGTCTCTAGCTGTCAACGCGTCTTGTCACGAGGCGGTGAGTCTCCAAACGACGGGATATTTGCTCCGTCGTTTCTTGCTGTTGGCATAGCCTTTCGCAAGCACGGCGACTCTCGAGGCGGCGGGACCTCTCTTCTCCCTTCTTCTACTCTCTGTGTAGGCACTCCTGCCGACGCCGTCTGCTCAGAGCTTTAACACTGTCACCCCTGTCATTTTGCTCCTCCTCATAGTCCTCTTCTAATTATCTCAGCATTCTATTTATACAACAACTACGACCATTAAAACACTGCAATCTACCCGATCCTTACATTCCCAGCCCATTAGTACCACACCCCTAAACTTTCGACCGATAGTACGACACGTTCTATGGTCTTTTGAAATCAAACCGCAACCATTACAATAATGCGATCTAAACCATAATGAGCGTTAGCATGCTAACGCAAGTTAGCAGGCAGTCCAGCGAGCTGGCCCGACCTGCACGCATGCGCGAGTCACATGGTCATGCGACCTCCAAGATCCTGTACAATGTCTCTTGCATGTCATTGCTGTTTTCGACTTTCGAGCATGCAACTTGCGGAACATGCGTTCCCAAACAATTTCCTCCACAATTGTGCTCGCCCCGGTGTATCTTGCTAAGCTCAATGTTAAAAGTGCATTCTGCCGAATTCCCGTCCGCCCGGAGGATTGGTCCTTGTCGATCCGCTGGCAGGATCAATACTTTTATGAGAGTGCCCTGCCCTTCAGACTGTATTACGCTCCAGTCCAGCTATATGGAACTCTGTCGCATCCGCCAGTGAATGGATTATGTGCTAGCAGTTCGCACTCACACGCCTATTGCATTACGGGGAATACCTCAACTAACGTTACTTCCTCAGTGCATGCTCTGGACTTGTGTTAGCTTGCCAGCAATTCGCTATTCTGCTCCGAGAATTTACATACTTCGATGTTTCTCTGGCCCCAGCAAAAGTGGAGGGTCCAGCTCAAGTCCTGACGTTATTGGCATCATCCTATTACGGGGAGTGCCTCGACTAACGTTTCTGTCTCCATGCCTGCTCTGAACTTGTGTTAGCTCGCCAGCAACTCGCTACTCGGCGCCGCGCGTTTACATACCTCGGTGTTTCTCTGGCGTCAGTAAAAGTGCTTCCTCAATGCATGCTCTGGACCTGTGTTAGCTCGCCAGCAACTCGCTACTCGGCGCCGCGCATTTACATACCTCGGTGTTTTCTCTGGCGTCAGCAAAAGTGGAGGGTCCAGCCCACGTCCTGATGTTTATCGGCGTCATCCTGGACACCCGCCGCGCTAACATCAGTATGCCTATGGACGAACTTGCCGAGCTTCGTGATCTCCTTCGGGCCACTCTTCACACAGCTTCAACTACCCAATGTCAACTCGAGTCTCTTCTGGGAAAGCTCCCGTTTGCTACAAGAGTGATAGCCCCTGGATGCAAATTGCAGATTGTGGTCACTTGCCAACTGGTACCGGCAGCCGTGTTACCTGATCAAGCTCTCCAAAGAGTGCCTCAAAGATCTTCGCTGATGGCCTGAGCTCCTGGATTAGCGGAACGGCCGGTCCTTCTTCCTATACCCTAAATGGACGCCGTCCCCCGACTTGCTGGTATTCACTGATGCAAGTGGTGCACTTGGCCGGTGCTCGTACAATTGCGACCGGGGATAGGGCGATGGACAGTCAATCAAGCAGAGCAGCAATCGCAAAGGGTTGTTTGCAATTGTGGCAGCCCGCAGCACCTGGGAAAACTAGCGGCATCAGCTGGGAATGCCAATCGATGGGCATTTACAGCAACTGCGAGGATATTGCTCATCAGTTGTGGCTTTGGCCTGGCGTTGTACACCGGCCTCTCGTTTCGAATCAGCTGCGGGACTCGATATTCAGAGAGGCGGGAAGGTGGAAAGCGATGTCTGCCCGAGTAACATTCGGACGCCACCTGCAGCCAAAGTATGGGTGGCTGCGGCAATGGCCTCAGCCCATGATATCAAGTTCTGACAGTCTTTACCTAGCTTGCACCGCTTACAGATTGCACGGGTAGCTGCACTTTGTGATCCGCTCCGGGAGTGCCGATTTATGGAATATATGCTCTCAACTGGTTATGCATACCAATATATTTAGCATTTGGAGGCTCTACTCAGAGTCATTGGCGGCTCCATGCAGTCATTGGCGGCTCCATGCGGAGTCATTGGCGGCTCCATGCGGAGTCAATTTGGGGCTCCATGCGGGGTCATTCGGCGGCTCCATGCGGGGTCATTCGGCGGCTCCATGCAGAGTCATTCGGCGGCTCCATGCGAAGTCATTCGGTGGCTCCATGCGGAGTCATTTGCCGGCTCCAAGCAGAGTCATTTGTCGGCTCAGCTGCGAGCCATCTAGTGGCTCCAAGCAGAGCCATCATACCAGTTGCTCGAATCGGCACTCCCAGCTTATTCCCAAACTCGGTTGCTCTGTTGTGAGGTGGGGGGGGGGGGGGGGTGCTAACCTAGGAATGGGTTTGCTCCCCACACTGGAGCTAGCGCTATTCCGTCGACTTGACACTTGACGGACTCACGACTGCCATCCAGAGTCGCCACCACTATTTCTAAACCATACGGCTAATTATTTTAGTTAGCTATCCACTTACCGGTACAGTAAAACCTGTGACTACCGACCACCCCTTGGTGCCAGCAAAAGCGGTCTTTAGTAGCAGGTGGTCTTTAGTTAGAGGTTTGCACCGCGTGACCATATGTGGATCCCATTATATGATATGTATGTCAAAATGCAGCTAATACGATTCCCCAGGACTTGCGCAATGTCAGAAAGACGGAGAGATGGAGAGAGAGAGAGAGAGAGAGAGAGAGAGAGAGAGAGAGAGAGAAGATTAATTTTTTGCAGACTTCAAATTCAGCTGCTACTTCTGAAGCCAGGAGTCAAACGTTCCCTGGGGAAGTTTCGTTTCGCGCTGGGCTTCAAATTTGTTCATGCGATCAATCATACCGACTGTCCTTGTTGTGACTTCTGGATTGCTTGAACGCGATCCTTCAGCATCAGGACCTTGTGGTGCTGCTTTGTTTCTGGATTCCTTGATGCCATCGTCAATCCGTCTGTATGACTGGTGTGACAGAGCCGCCCAGTCTTCGTTTCTCCTCCGAGTAGTAACATCGATCAGAGAGCGCTTTCGATGCGCTCTCCAAGACGTTTCCTATCATGTTTTTTCTTGACAGCGCTTGAAATTTTGACAGGTGTAGTGCAGTCCACACCGACTCCACAGCCAAAATTACCTGCATTCATTTGTTCAGCTGTAGTATCGAAAGATTTTTTTCAGGACCATGGAAAATCAGTAAAATTTCAAGAAGGAGCTTCGAGCAACATTTGATTTCCTACATCGCGGTCGCTAGTTACGGGTCAAAAATTGTGTTTGGGACAGGAAAAGGCGGTCGCTGGTCGCGTTCAGAAGGTAGTCGCTAGTCACAGTGCATTTTGAATGTGAGACCTTCCGTGCCTGGCGAAGTGGTTGGTAGTACCAGGCTGGTCGCTAGTGACAGTGGTCTTTAGTTACAGGTTTTACTGTATATCCCTTACCGAAATTGTATTCTTGAACGCAATATTCTTCTTTCTTTTTCTTCTACTCCGTTCCATCAGCACTCGGCCGATGGCAGGAGATTGGTACCCACTGGGCTAGCATGCAGCAGCCAAAGCTGGGGCCTTTTCTTACTCCGTCAAACCCACTTCTTAAAACGAAACTGATGTGCATATTCACATTGCATGTTGTGAATGTCCCCATATTTGCCCCGACATCTTAGCTCGTACAGCGCTCCAGATACATATATGCTACGGTGCGCACCGCATACTCGAATTACGGTACGGGACACATACGGGATACTGTACCAACCATTGCATGCCACGTGAACCACCCTACCAGACACCGTGACACGCACCGAATTACAGCGGTGTGGATACTGGCTAGCGCCAGATGCTACTAAAGTACAACTGAATAGCGTCTTTTGCATAGCTACGGGAATAATCTCATATCCCAAGTATTGCAGCTCTGCTAATAGAATAATTCAGGTTACTCCCACTCCATTTCTCTAGTGCTTATTTTTCTGAAAAAATATCATCTTTGGCACCAGAATGCTGCCACCAAGAGTACATTAACCAGAGTGTGCAGCCCAAAGAGAATCATCCCACGGCAAAGTTTATTGTTTAGGGCATAGACTCGCAGTAACAGGCTCACCTTTGCTGCATCTCACACCGCTTCACACGGTCATCTACTCTATCACCATGGTAATTTCTGTTGCACATTGCTGCTTGCAAAAACGTAGAAAACACACCGAATTTCCAGGTAATTACCATGGTGATACGGTACTTTAGCTTGAACCTATTGTATGACGGGTTTTCTATGATTGATAATGACCCAGAGAGAAACTAAACCGGTATCGAATTCCAGTCAGCGACGCAATTCTTCTGAGGTGTAAAGTGACTTCAGGAATATGTTGCAGAAAACTGCGATGCATGCTGATTATTTACTGTGCCCTATTGTGCACAATATACCAGGTGTGTTACTCAGGGATGAAGTAGATGCACACACGTGCCGGGCATCACGGCACAGGTTAGGTTTGCTACTAGCCGCTGCAGTGCACTTGTGGTCCGAACTTGCACTCTACTCAACTCTGCATACGCAAAGAGTGCTGGTGCCGAAATGAACCAGAAGGGTGCTGAGTGGGACGCAACAACACTGACTCTGTCTACCCATGTACACAGATATGATAGGGTATGCAGTACCTGCTCTAAGATTTAACACAAACCGGGTACACGTCTACCTGGCACAATTCCTGCAACACTGGGCCAGAGCCAGATGCGTTCAAGTGCGGCTACTGTGTGTCAGGGAGTCGTAAACTTACTTTCGACTTCCTGATGTACATGATTGTACATGTACATGTATGAACGTACTCGCACTGGGCACTCTGGCCGCACGCATCTGCACGCGTATGCAGCCTGTCAGTGGCGGTATGCCCTCGAACGGTATAAAAAAGTATAGTACTCGACAGGACTTCCGACCGGGTCTCAGGTAACCCAGTGTTCTTTTTCCAAAAGGTCCAAGTACTCACAAACAGGGCCACTGACCCGGCTCTGGAGCAGACACTGGTAATCTAGGTCCAAGTTTGCTCGATTTTGTTCTGACGCTTCATGTGCTTTCATAGCCAAGGTTTCTCACTTTCTTCGCAAGCTCTTTTAGTCTTGAGAGTTGACAACTGCTTATGGTTGTGTTGGCAGAAAACATGTCAGCTAATCTGACAACCGTCCAACCCCATTTTACTGGTAAGTAGTCAGCGAGTGGCTTTGATGGGGCCATACAGTACTAGAGGGGAAGTTACGCGGCATATTTGTGCTTCCTTTTTGAAAACACGTTCTCGCTCGAAGGGTTTCTTAACTTTATCCCTGCGCTCATTGATGGAGTTCATCGATGGAGTTGCCAGCGGCACTCTACAGAAGAACAATGTTGTCAAGTTTTTTATGAAAAATTGTCAAACATTTTCAAATTGCTATAAGTTTGGTTAGGGCCGGGTTCCACTGCGGCTCCGCAGCTCCGCTGCTCCACGGTACTTGGCTGCATGC